GGAAGGAAAGTGTCTGTTTGGTTGGTCCTTTATTTTTCTTGGTGGCTCAAACATGAGGACAGAGATTTAGGAGTGAGACAAGAGTCCTGACAAGAGAGTCTTTAAAAGCTGGATGTTTTCCTGAATGTGCAGGGATGCTGGGCTCACTGTGCCTGTGGGATGGCACATGCAGGTACAATGTTGTACGACACACAGCTCCTCATGCCACAATCAAGAGAAAGTCCTTAATCTCTCTCCTCTGCTGCTTCACACCTTTGTGTAACTAAGGTGGAGGGAAGAGCTTCAGAAATGAGAAGTTTAAAAGTCACAGGCTGAAATATTACTGGGTTTTTACTTTTTTTTTTTAAGGAAATATTTGGACAGTTTTTTGGAAAATGGCCTTGATGATCTTAGAGGTCTTTTCCAACCTTAATGGTTCTAAAATTGAGTTATAGGAAATTATTGGAGTAAAAGCAACCATATTTCTCGAAGAGGAGATATTACCTCTTAAGTTTTTACATAATCCCTCATTAATGGCAAGGGAGTTGGGATTTATGTGGCTAATTCCAGATATTTGGAGATTGTCAGTCTTGGCTGGGCACAGAATTCCAAGAAAGGGGCTCATCCTGCTGCAGTGGCAGCATTTGTGCTGTGCTGGGTGTGTGTCCTGTGCTGGCTTTTCCCTGCCTGTCCTTCCCAGCTGTTCCAAAGGCAGCCTGGACACCCAGGGCTGAGCCTCTCCACCTGCATTTTATCTGAATGCTGATTGTTCCAGTTTCTATGCTGGTGGCTCAAAACAGCCTTTAACCTTCTGTTACCTTCTGGATTCTCAGTGTGTGCCTCAAGTCTGCTGGCACTGCATGCTGGCTGTCACTGCTGAGGCAGAGCTGGGGGCAGGCCGTTTGCCATGCTCCCTTGTGGGTTTGCTATGTGTGGAATTCAGTGAGGAGCAGCAGCCCAGGTGCTCTGGGCCATTGTCCAGCCCCAAGGCCTGGCCCATGGGACCTGCACCCCACTGCTGTATTTTGGGCAAATGCCAGTGCCAGAGGGGGGCTTGGTTGGAGGCCTCATGCCCTGGGCTGAACAAACACTTCTGGTTCCAGTAATGTGCTAAGAAAATAAAATAAAATAAAATAAAATAAAATAAAATAAAATAAAATAAAATAAAATAAAATAAAATAAAATAAAATAAAATAAAACACAACACAAACAAGCCTCTCAAAGCCCAGGGAGGGAACATTACAAAATATTGAAAAAGAAAACCCCACCCATCAAGATGATAGGAAAGGAAATACACCTCGTGTGAGGATGAATCAAAATGTTTTTCAGAATGAAAACCATAGAGCTTCTGCTTCCTCTTAATGGCAGAGAATTAAGCAGTTAACAGGCCCTCAGAGATGCAATAAACCTTTCAAACCAGCTGAGAGATGCTCTGGAAGGACTTGAATTAATTCCTTTGGCTGCTGTGATGATGAAATGTGCTGGGGTCCCCTTTGGTGAGGCATCCACGTTTCCAGCCCTTTGCATTTTGTCTCCTGGGAGCACCTGGTGTTGGAGATGTGGGAGGGAAGGAGGGAGGGGTTGTTTCAGAGGGAGGTGAGTGCAGTGTCCATGCAGAGCTGGCTGTTCCAGGCAGCTCCTGGCACTGCATTTTGGCTGCCTGCAGCTCAGGCAGTGACTGCACTGCTGGGAGCTTTTCTGGAGTCGCTGGCTGAAGACCCCACAGCCCAGAAAAGGACTAAAATCCCACTGAGGCTCAGGGATTTTTGTCACTTGCCTGGGAATGTGGCACTGGGAAGGGCTGTGTGCTTGGTGGGTAAGCAGGCACCAGTGCTGGGCTCAGAGGTTCCCTGAGCCAGTTCCCTGCATGGGCTGCAGGAATGCACTGAGTGTCACTTGCTCCCTGCTCCTGCCTTTCCGGAGCTCCTGGGCATTGCCAGGAGCCAGGTGCTGACCCAGGTGGGCCTTTATGGCTCTTCATGCAAACCACGTGTGCCATGCAGTCTGGCTGTGGTAATTGCAGGAAACCACAGTAATTAACTGCCAATAACAGAACTTTAGTGTTGCTGCTGGTGCATCCTGTGAGAGGAAATCTCCTTTGGTTCCCTGCTGAGATGAGGCTGAGGTACCTGTCTGGTTCAAATGTGGGCTGTGGTTTGGGATCTAGAAGCTAAAATCAATTCCTGAACTGAGAAGTTCACCTGCAGGGGAGGGATTTCTGCAGCAGATGGACATGGTACCTGAAAAAGTCACAGTGTGGTGTCAGAAGCTACTGTAGGTGTTGGTCTGGGCACACTTGGCATTTGCAAAATTAAGTCTTGGCTTGTGCTGTCATCCTGCCTTCTCCTTCTGAGGGAACAGTCACTGTTCCCTCCATGTGTGCATGTACATCTCTAAAATGAGAATTAAAGGGCTGGGGATTCAAAGGGCAGAGGGAGGTTAAACACACACCCAATGGCCAGGTGTCATCTTTGTTCAGAAATCTGAAAAATGAAGTCACCATTCCAGCAAAGGCCCCTCAGGTACAATTTTAGCCCTACTTGAATTTCAGTCCCTTCTCCAACCCTGCAGAATTCCCCCAAAATATCCGCGGTGCTGGTATGGTATATTTAGCTTAAAGAACAGATCGTCCTGGTAACCAGCTGAGGAGATGCTTGGAACAAGGCTGCTGGGATCTTTTCAGGGTGTGTTAATTGCTCTCACTGTGCCCAGGCTCTTCCATGCCAGAAGAGAACTTGAGGCAGAGCATTGGTGCTGCAGCCCTGCCTTCCCTTGGGCTCTCCTGCCCTGCTCCACTGTCAGGGTTCCTGCTGGGAATGGGGCAGGCAGGGCAAGTGCTGCTTATTTCTCTGCCTCTTGCTGCGTTTGCTTCTTGGTTTATTTGCCTGTTTATTTATTTGCATCTTGATCCCATTATTTAGCAGGCTCTGTGGTTCCAGGGGACCCCTCCTGTGGTTGCAGTACGGATCATTAATGTCTTTGGGATTTGCAGCTTTAGCAGATCTTGTCACAGCACTTCTAAGCTTGGGAAAACTCCTTTGCCCAGTCCTCTGGGACTGTTGCATGCAGGAAATGCTGCTGTGGGGGCTGGGCCCCGTGCAGGTCACTGGTGAGATCTGTGACCTCACCCACTGTCAGGGGTGCCTGTGGGACAGACATGCAGGGACATCCCACAGGGGCTTGGGGCAGGTCTGTCTCCAGCCTGGGGTTTCTTCTGCCACAGAGGACAAACACCACTGGCTGTGTCAGCTCACAGAGCCCTGTCCTTGTCCTTTGCTGCACAGGATGGAGCTGTGCCCCCTCTGCTGCCCTGCACAGGTCACACCTGGGCCCCACTCATCTCCCAGTGCCCTAGTGCCATGCAATTCACACTTCAGCCCTTTCTGGCCACTGCTTGAGTAGGACAGAACTCCTTCCCTGTCCATTTCCACCCTTGAAAACTTCCTCTTCCAAGAGGTGTTGAATCTTTTTGAATAAAGGCTTAAGTGTTGTCCTCCAGAAGTGTTTTTGAGACACTTTGAGAATTTCAGGCCTCGTGTTCCACCTGCTCTGCTCAGATCTGTCCTTGTGGGTGACTGATGGACGTGTCCCCAGCGTGCCCTGGGTGTGTGTTCACTGAGAACCTCTTGCCTTTCCCAGGTTCAGGGTGTGTCTGTTGGTTCCATCAGCTGTGGTCTTCTTTGGAGCTCTCTGATGCCGAGGTAGCCCAGGGCTTCACCTCCACTGGTTTTTGTTCCCCAAAAAGCAGCACCTGGTTCCCAAGGCTCTTGGCTTGATGTACAAGGGCTCTGCTTGCTTCAAAATCTCATCCCTGGGAATGTAACACTGGAGCCTGGCTGGCTCAGTTCTGGCTGTCTCTAGGTGCCTTGGAGCATCCCAGGTGCAGGCTCTAATCTGCTCCTGCTGAGCCTGTGGCTGATGTGCTGCAGGATTTACAGCTTTCCCTGTGTCCTGTGCTCCAGCATGCAACAGACATGCCCTTATCCTGGATACCCCTGCTGATTTCCAGGGAGCTGTGTGAAATGAGCCTGTCCTCCAGCTGTGAGGGTTGGCTGCAGGCTGGGGAAGCAGCCCTTGGAGGCTGGGGGGAGCATATTGGGGAGCACAGTGCCTGGCAGATGGCATTTGCTGTGGTGTAAGGGGATTTGCCACATGACCTGCTCAGCATCGGTGTCACGTGTGCACTGATCAGACCTGGCATCTAAAGAACACACTGAGATCAGCACAGGAGCTGCTGCAAAAGGCTGGCTGGCAGGGGATGCACAGGGATCCCAGCTTTTCCCATCAAGGGTGGTGATGCTCACAGGAGCTCCATCCTGGTTTTCTCTCTGTGTTCAGGGCAGTTTTAGTGTCTGTTGTAAATCCAGTGATTTGCTGCTCCTCATGGATGGACACACAGCTCCAGCACTGGATGTGCATGAGCCTGGGAAGCCAGCTGGAAGGAATGGGGTGGTGAAGCGGCTGCAGTATTAACTTGACACCTAATTATATCCCCTGGGCTGATTTTTCCATTCTGTCATGCCCTGCTCTGTCTGCACTTTCTGGGAGTGTGGGATGCTGTGAAGCTCTCCATATCCAGCCATGCTCTGGCAGACATTTAAGATGAAATTATCAGTTGTAAAAGCTCTCCTGTCTGTGCTGCCAAAAGTAGCATCTCCCTGATGTTTATATTTCTTTAAACCAAACAGGATAGGTTAATTCTGTATAGATTTGAAAGATAGTATTTATTCCAGCTCTTCTGGAATGGGATTTCACACCACAGTTCCCATGGGAGTTGCCATGGAACCTTCACTGTCTCTGACCAGAAGTGGCTTTTGTTGACCTGATTCATATTCTGGCATTCCCTTGTTGAAGCAGGAACACCTCTGACCAGTTTCCACATGGACTCCTGAAGTTACATTTCCTACAGGCTTTCTTCCTAAGGAGGAGCTGTAGCCAGGGCCCAGGTGGGGGCAGTTTATGGCAGCTGCCAAGGGCACAGCCTGGAGCAGGTGTGTAGTAACCGTGCTGTTGTTGTTCAGTGCCCCAGGTGCTCAAGAGCTGCACGGAGTTCATCGAGAAGCACGGCATCGTGGATGGCATCTACCGCCTCTCCGGGATCGCCTCCAACATCCAGAAACTGCGGTAAGATGCAATGAGCCTTTTGTTATCATGCACTGGCATCCTGGGAGTGGCACTGATGGCATTGTGTGGTGTCACATCCCAACCAGCATCCCTGCTTCTGGCGCTTCCAGCTCTGGAACTGAGTCAGTCACACACAGCTTGTGCTGTGCCCAGCTGACATAACCCAAGGCTGTTTCCACACTGCATAAAATGGAAAGGCAAGCAATGGAATGAAAGTTCTTTCTTTCTTTTTATGGCCTCTTTACTTAAGTACAGGCATCATTTATAGTAGGGGGGGCAGGGCACAGCCTGGGCTTCCTCTGCACATTCCTCCTGCACGGAGCTTGCCTTCAGGATAAAGTACCAGGATCCTGGTGTCACTGTGCTGCCATCTTCCATTTCTGTTCTTTCTCTCTCCAGAAGCCCTTTGGAGCAGGCAGTGTTTCTCCCTGCTGCCTTGGGCTCCTGGCTTACCAGCAGTTCATTGGGAATGTGCAAAGGATGCGTGCCTGAGTCTGGTGTGGGGCATTGCTGTGCTGCAAGGGAAGGGCCGGGAGTGTTCTGGTTAGGAGCTGTTCCCACCACAGCAAACTTCCTTTCCTCTTTCATGAGGCTGTTGTCCTGCTGTGGTTTGGTGTAGAATGGTGTGCTGTGGGGCATTGATGTGCTGGGTGGATGGGACTCACCAGCACTGCTCCTGGGCCCAGGGCCTGGCCAGGGCAGCACAGGGCTCTTTGCCATGGGCAGAGTAGCTTTTTTGTACCAGCTGTCCCCCAGTTCAGTGGGCAGGTTTGAGCTGGTACACTGACTGTTCAAACCCTTGGATGGATGGGGTTGTTCTGGTTCAGATTAATCCTGTTTCTTATCCCAGCAAGTCCCATTTAAAAAATCTGGTCCCAAGGGTTTTATATGCAGGATCTAAAGGCTCTGACTGGAGCTGTGACTGAATAAAACGTTTGCCATTGCTTCAGTTATATTCCTTTATTCTCTATTTTGCCTTGTGCTGGACCATCCATCTAATCTCTGCCCTAGTCCATTTTTTTTTCCTTTTGTGTTACCAAGACCACTTTCTCCTCCATTGTGTACCAAGGTGCTTTAAAAAGGGTTTTGTAAAATTGTAATGGCATCATTCCCTGTTGTAGTGCAGAGAATGAAGTGACATCCTGTTTTCCAGGTTTCTGAGACGTTCCAAAAGCAAAAGGAAAGGAGTACATGGCATAACTTATTGACACTGTCCTGTTCATGTAAATCCCTACAGATTTTGAGTGTTCGATGAACATAAGACACATCTTGCTGCAGTTCCAAGCTGCACAAACAGGACATTGGGCTCATTCCCAAGCTGGGGCTGCAGTATCCTTATAAATGAACCACTGTGCTTAGATTTCCCATAGAAGATCTGGATCTCCTGGATTTAAAGGGCTTTTTGGTTGGAGAGAAGGTTAGAGAATTTATTCCACATGGGAGATTTCCATGGAACAGATGTTGGCTCTTCAGTAGGGCAGTAGGTGCCTTTATTTGGCAGGTGGGCAAACAGCCACTGTTGATCCCTGGATCCTGCTATCCTGGCTCGTTTTGAGAAGCTGTGCAGTTGTTCTTCACCTAACAAAATCTTCCTTTTGGGTCTGAAGGAGTAACATGTAGCCCTGGAAACAGCCAGTGCAGACAGGAGGAGGGTTGAATGTGTGGGGCACTCCTCTCTTCCCTCCATATTCACTTCTGCAAGGGAGCATTTGACAGAGTGTGAGCTTTATTCCTAGGAAAAACCACTGTAGTAGGGCAGGACATGGGCAGGGAGTTTGAGCCAGGGCTGAGTGTGTCTGTGTGGGGTGGGCTGGTGCCTTCCTGGGCTTTTCTGTAGAGCTGAGTTTCTGTCCTAGATGTGAGCAAGGGATGAGTCACAAGGTGCCTGTGGAGGTGGTGTGTGCTGGACACTGGGCATGTGGAAAATTGAATGCATCCTTTGCTCCTCTGCTGTCCTCAGGGTGAGGAAGGGATGGGCTGTTCACCCTCAGAAGGTGGGGAGCACTCCTGCCCCTTGTCTGGTGGGAGTGAAAGGCTTCCCATGAGCAGTGTCCATGTCCAGGGATGGAAGGAGTCCATCCTGATTCCAGGAGGGCTCAGCTACAAACACACCTGGAGCCCTGGGTATGTTGTTCTCCTCAGGCAGGGTGAGCTCAGGGGTTGTGTGACCCTCTGGGCACAGCCTGCCAGCTTTGGGTGGGGGACAGGGACAGGGATGGGCCACTGCACCCAGCCCACTCCCTGTGCTTGCAGTGCTGGCAGGATGAGCCCCATGGCTGTGGGCAGCCTAAAGGCTCTGGCAGGGACCCCAAGGTTCTGCAGCTCCCAGGGCCTGCTCACAGCTCTCACGGCCCTGCAGTGTCCTGCTAATTGGAAACAGCACTTCCCAGCATATATGCCAGCAGCAAGCCAGCCCTCAGCCTTCTGAGCTCAGCTTTTATTTCAGAAACATTGGTGATTGGGTTTTTTTCTCTCTCTGAAAACCAAGGGAGTGCTATGGGGTTTTCTTCATGTGGTTCCTGGCTGTAGCAGAGGCAGGCTCAGCTCACCAGCTCATCCCCCAGGAATTCCTGCACTCACTGGTTTCCATGTGCTGCTGATGGAAGTGATGCTGGCAGGACTTGATCGTTGCCATTTGCAGGCCTTTGAAATGCAGAGGGACAGCAGCTCTCATCGTTCCTATGGGCAATCCCAGTCACAGCCCTTGGGAGTTAGACTTGTGGGCTTGGAAGATGTTCTCTGGAGACTTTGTGAAAAGCCCTGATGCAGCAAAAGGGATTGCAGCCGGTTGGTTGTAAAATTAACTGAAAATGCTTTATTAGAAAAAGGAAAAGTCTCTTTTGAAAAATATCCCCACTGGCTGCCCCACAGTCGTGGGTCATGTGGTTTTGGTGACTAAGTGTTTATTTTTTCCTGTAAATCAGGAAAGCCTTGCTGTAATTTGTGCTGGGTTTGATTGCATTCCTCCTCCTCAGAACCCTTTACCCATTTCTCCGTTCTCATTGCCAGCCACGAGTTTGACTCCGAGCAGATTCCTGACCTGACCAAGGACATTTACATCCAGGACATCCACTGTGTGGGCTCCCTGTGCAAGCTGTACTTCCGAGAGCTGCCCAACCCCCTGCTCACCTACCAGCTCTACGAGAAGTTCTCTGTGAGTGTGAGCCACATGTGGGGCACTTCCCCCTTCAGTGGGCCTTCAGCTGGTAGAGCAGAGAAATCCTGGAAGCTGCACCTGCCTTCCACACACTTCCCTCTCTGCTCTGCCTCACTGGGGGTTGTTGGAGCCATCAGAAGGGTGTGTCACCAGAATTGCCAGCCTGACACTGTGCTGCCCACACTCCTGATTCCACCCTGCCGTTCCAGGAGGGGCTGGCAGTGCCCTGGGGTCTGAGGGGCCTTTTCTGTGTCCCCTTTAAGTCACTCAGAGGTGCCTTTGTCCCCTCTGCCACGCTGTGTTGGTTCCACTTGTGGGGCCACAGCAGATGGTCCCTGGCACAACTCCCGTGCTTTGCAGGAATTCCCCTCTCGTTTGCCATTTCCCAGGAATGGGATTGGAAGCAAATGCTGCTCTGAGCTGAATGACTTCTGCAGAAATTCTCTGTGCCATTAACATGCCCCAGCTCATAACTTACTTGCCCTTCCTTACATGATCCATATGCTGCTCAGTCCCCAAGACAGAACCCCCCAACCTAAAGGGGAGAAGAGCAACAAAACCCCCCTGACTGCCAAGGCTGGGGATTTATTTGCAGCTAAATCCTTTGCTGCCTCATTCCAGGATGCTGTTTCTGCTGCTACAGATGAGGAAAGGCTGGTTAAGATCCACGATGTGATCCAGCAGCTGCCTCCTCCCCATTACAGGTGAGTGCAGCCTTTGGGGTGTTGGGGGCATTTTGTGAGAGGAATTCTGTAATTCCACTTTCCCTCTCAAGACAGCCACGCTGTGCCTCTGCATTTTGAAATGGTTATGGCTGTCCAAAGTTGGTTTATATTTTAATTAGCTCCTTACCAAACACTGTCCACTAAACATGGTCTTACTTCAGGTCCTTAGAAACTCCATCCTAGGAGGGAAATAGGAGTTTGTTATGTCAGAGTAAGGAAACAGTTTTATTGTAGGGAGGTACAATACCAGTGCTAACAGCACTTTTAAAAAAAGTGAAATATAGCAAAAAAAAAAAAAAATTGCTCAGACCTTCAGCCAAACTTGGTCAACTGTATTTTGTCTCCAGTTTGCCCCTCCCTGCAATAATAGTAATTAGCAAATAACAACAATGCTCTCAGAATAACTGATGTAATTAATTATTATCAGTGTAATGTATTAGAGTAGCATAATATGGTGTTTAAAAACCACCAATTAAAATACTATATTCAAGCTAATTAGTAGTAATAAGAAATTGTGCTATATGGTAATGAGTCTTGACTAAGAACAACATTTTAACAGTCTTTAGTATTAAAAATTATGGCAGGGTATGGTGAAAAGGTATCAGACAAATTGGTATTGGTGACTGGCTTTAACAGCTGTATAGATACTGCATGTTAATGAGACTTTAACAGTAATAAGTAGTGATGCATGGTATGTAGCATTCACTAATTGGGAATTGTAATTGGTAGAAATAGCTAATGACAGCATATGGTGGAAGTTATTTACAGATAGGTAGCTGTTTTAATTGGCTGGGCCAGCTCCCCTGGTGTGTCCCAGTGGTTTAGGTAAGTGACCATTTGGGGTGAATGCAGGCAGTGTTTGGCTATTGGTGTCTAATTAGAATATTTCATGACAATCATCAATTGATTTTTATAATGTACATTAATGTATGTTAACTACAGGTGAAGTTGGAATTCTGGTCTAAGGGGTCAGGTGTAACACATGAGGACAGCTAGTGATAACTATTTGTAGTAATTTCTGCCAATAAATGTTTAAATTTCAGTTACTGTGATGTGTGGTGATTAGCTGGACAATTGCAATGCTGCAATGAGTGGTATAAATAATTATAAAAGTTAACTGGGGTTTAACTGATGTGTTATAAACTATAACTGTGTTACTTGCTCTTCAAATAAGGTTGGCTAGTTGGTGCAGCAGCTGCTGCTTCTAGTAACTAATTTCAATATTGATGTTAATTAAAGGGGGTGTGGCCCTTTAAAAAATAAACTGATCTCTTTCTTTTCCTTTTCAGTCACCTTTTCCCCTGAAATGATTTTTAGTTCATGGGGCTGGGTAAACTGGGTTCTGGTACCAGCAGCATGTGAGTCTGAGAAAGGGGCACAGCCAACAGCAGCGTGTGGAATGCTGTAGGTCACAGGGTGCTGCTCTCCTTTCCTGGGCTTTGCTTGGAAAAAGGAACAAACACTTTATTTTTCTGCTGCTCAGTGATGAGAAGTCACAGGCAGGAGGTGTCTGTTTGGTTGCCAGACAGAGCCATTTTCTTTACTTCCAATCTTGTCTATTTGTGGAATTTTGAGCCCCAAAACACCCTCTCTGTTCCATCTCCCTTCCCCCCAAAAAGAATGGGCTGTGAGACAAGACACACGCCAGGGGCACCAGGAGGGTACAGCAGCATTTTCACTGCCACCTCCTGCTCCCTCCTCCCTAGTGTGTATCAAACTTAATATACAAATCCCACCATGTTTTAATATGAACAGAAGCCTCTGAAGTTTAACCTTCTATCTGCCTTACCAACCTCTGAGAAACCCACAGCCAGTATTTTCATTGTTCTGGGGTGTCTCAATCAGTACTCCCTCCATCCCAGGATGAGCATTCCACATCCTTCCCCACACATCCCTGAGCAGCCCCTCACAGCTGGCACACACCTGCAGAGGGTTTTTCCTGGAACTGTCCTTTCCTTGAGCCTGGAGCAGTCAGGAGAGACTCCCCTCAGCCCAGGCTGTGTCAGTACTGCCAAAGCCAGCCCCACGGTGGGGCTGAGGGGAAGGAGTTGAGCATTCCTTTCTGGCAGCTCTCAGATCACAAGGAAATAATGAGCTGGGTTTGTGCTGTGGATCACGGCCTGGCTTTGCTCAGTGGTGCTGAACATTGGCCTCTCTCCTGTTTTCCAGGACACTGGAGTTCCTAATGAGACACTTGGCTCGTCTGGCTGATTATTGCTCCATCACAAATATGCACACCAAGAACTTGGCCATCGTGTGGGCTCCAAACCTCCTCAGGTACTCTGGGATTTTCCCATTTCAATAGAAAAGAAATGTTTACATTTATAAGCAACAGATAGTCCAGAAAATCCCAGCTTTCAGCAGCTGGAAAGAGCTCTTCCTCTCTTCACCCAGTGCACTCTTCACCTCCTGTAAAATATGGGAAATTATTCTAAGTAGGATTAAAGATTGGCTGGCAAGTTCCTGACCTCGTGATGTAAAACAGCCCCTGTGTTATCCTGTCTCACACAACACAGTTCCACTGGCTGCAGTTTTGTCAGTAGTAACAAGGAAGAATTCCCTGAACCCTCTTTTAGAGGATAATTTCTCTTCTCTTGGTTAGATGAAACTGATGTGTCCTTGATCATCCAGGAGAATTTCTACAGTGGTATCACTGATTTCCCACTGCATAAGTCTCTAGAGTCTAATTTGACAGCTTTTGGCTACAAGAATTCAAACTTACAGAAATTAACTTGGATAAATCTGTTTTGAATCTGGATAATAGGGCACTTTAATGGTGTAAGTTAAAAATTTTGCTTTAAAAGAAAAAAATATTATCCTCCTGCCCTTTATTGTACTGATTTCTCACCTGCTGTTGTTACCAACCTGAGAAATCTGAGTGTGCAGTTCATCATGGAATCCCAGAAGAGTTTGGGTTGGGAGGGATATTAAAGCTCATCCAGTGCTCCCCCCTGCCATGGGCAGGGACACTTTCCCCAGGTTGCTCCAAGCCCTCTCCCATCTGCCCTTGGACACTCCCAGTTCATGCAGGTGGGCTCCTCTTTCTGGCAATTCCCCCACGAGCAGTGGAGTGACCTCATGGTTGAGTTTGCTTTGGTGAGTCCTGGAGCATTCACTCAGTAGGATCAGGTGGAGACACTCCCTGCCTGGGGGAAAATCCTCTTAGAGGCCACAGCAGGTTTATACAACAGCACTGCCTTAAACCGTGCCAGTCATGGAAATGAGTTAACAAAAAGCTCTTGATTTTGGCTGTTCAGTGTATTAACCTCAATTCAGACCTCTCCCACACTCCCCAGTGTTCCTCTTGCCCCATCAGTAAGGCTTGACCCTGGAGCTGAAGTTTGGCCATAAAACCCCACAGTCAGTGATGGTTTGTGAGCGTTGCCGAGAGTTAACCCCAGCAGTGCCTGAAGCCTTTGTGGCCGAACCCCAGGCCCTGCAGCCCCACAGGTGGCCAGGCCTGGCCAGCAGGAGCCTCTTCCCTGTGCTGTCCCCTGCAGGTCCAAGCAGATCGAGTCGGCGTGCTTCAGCGGCACGGCCGCCTTCATGGAGGTGCGGATCCAGTCGGTGGTGGTGGAGTTCATCCTGAACCACGTGGACGTGCTCTTCAGCTCCAAGCTCAGCTCCGTCATCCGCGATGGGGCAGGTGGGTGCTTCCCTGGGGCAGGAGGGCAGCACTGCACGGCTGCCTGAGCTCCTCTGGGACATGGAAACATGCTTGTTTTAACCTGCAGGGCACAGTTCTGGGCTGGGATGGCAGAACCCACACAGAGATGGCCTGCTTTTAGAAATTGCTGTCAGTACCTTTCTTAAAAGCTACAGATGCCCCACAGGAATGCAGACATGAATGTTTTCTACTTCTGTGTTCTACCACTTAGAAATTGCAAGGAATCACTTAAATCTTTTTCTCTCCTGCTCCCTCTCCTTTTTAAAGCCATCTTTTCTGGTGCTCCTGCATACTTACCCATCGGAGCTAAGTCTGTCTGCCCTCATCCCTTACCTTAGAACACAAATAGAACAAGCTGGTATAAAGCAGTCTCTCTGCATTCAGTCATGTTGAGGCTAAGAAACTGAAATCTTCCACTTGCTCAGGCTGATTTTGCTGTAGGATGAGGAATGAACCTGGAGCACCTGATATGTCATCCAGCCTTGGAGCCTACATATTCCCTTGAGTAACTGAGACCATGTATCTTTTCCATTGAGAAGGAGCAGAGTTGCACCAGGAGGAAAGTTTACTCTCTGTTAGTATGGCTGCCACAAGCTGTTCCTGCTCCTAAGCAGCATTAAGGCTGCACCATCTGCCTTGATAACCTGCCTGTGACTGAAACATGCACAGCTGCTGCAGTTAGCACCACCTGGGGACTGCAGAGAGCTGTGTTTGCACTGTATTTGCTGCTCCCTTCTCTTAAACAAACCCTACCTCTGCTTAGGCTGGCAGAGTTGATCCAAGTCCAGCTTTTTCTCCTACTGTAGGGCAGTTCTAAGTCCATGGAAGCCAGAGGTTAGCTTGGCTGAGCAGTGCCAGCCCCAGCAGGCTGACTCTGCCAGGGGAAGGAAGATAAGCATGCTCAGAATCCCAGCCAGATGATTATCCAGGCTTAGAATGGCCCATGTAAATTCAGCTAATTGTTTAATGACTTGGTCATTTGCATTCAGTGGCTTTGACACAGCCCTGGCAGGGAGCAGGGTCAGGCTGTTGGGTTGGCTGAGTGCAGGAGTTCTGCATTCCAGAACGGCTTCCTGGGAGCCTCTGGGTGTGAGCTCAGCTCCTGCACCCACTGGTGAGAGGGGGACATGGTGCTGCCAAACCTGTTCTAACTCAGACTTGACCCAGGACAGCTGAGTGATGTTTACAGCTCCTACACCCCCCCACAGACTCTGCATCCTTCGCACAGAGCTGTGCTGCTCCAGGGGCAGCCAGGGAACTGCACCAAGCAGGATATTCTGCACTGATACAGCTCCCCCAAAGCCTGAACTCACCTGGGAATCACCCCAGAAACACCTGTGCCAGAAGCAGAGACACAGGAGAGCTGCTCCTACAGCAGACTGCCCATAATCTCTCCAGTGAAGCTGTCAGCAGCAGGAGGCAGCAGCAGCTGCTTTCAGATTTTGCACATTCATCACCAAAACCAGGCACAAGCTCCAAAGGCCACAGGCAGGCCACACAGCAGATTCTGTTTGCTGTGTCCAGGTGCACTTTGGCTTGTAGCAGCTTCAGTCACACGTGGCATTTCCTGCTACACCGAGAGGTGAAATCTGGGAATGACCCAGACAGGTTTTATACAAAGGAAAAACATCATTTTCTTTATAGGGTCTTGCATCATACAGATGAAGGAGAATGTGTCACAAAGGTTTCCATCCTACTTGCTTGCCTCTGTTGTTTTTTTTTTTTTAATACACTAAACCATCATTCTTTTAGTCATCAACATATCTGTGACATTGTGATCACATTTTGTCCACATCTTTCAATGGCTGGGATAACAGAGGTTCAGAAAAACACAGCACCTCCCTAGACACACAGAGCTGAGCTTTGATCTCTGCACTGCCTGTGCTGACTCTCCCTGTTGCCTGTGGTTTTCCCTTGCAGGGCACAGCTCTTTATCCCGGCCCAAGTCTCTGCTGGTGTCCTCCCCCTCCACCAAGCTGCTCACGCTGGAGGAGGCTCAGGCACGGACACAGGCCCAGATCAACTCTCCCATCGTGGCAGACAGCAAGTACATCGAAGTGGGAGAAGGCCCAGCAGCTTTGCAGGGGAAATTCCACACAGTCATTGACTTCCCATCTGAAAGGTAGAGACAGGTTTCCTCTCCAGCTTGTGTTGTCATAATGGTGTTATTTTGAATACAGCAGGAATTTGCTTATATTGACTTGAGACTTGTTATATATGTAAATATTGTGGCCAGTTTCCTACCTGCTTTTGACTCTGGGAGGATTCAGCTCATATCAGTGGTGTTGGTTTAGCCAAATAATTTGTGCTCCACTCCCTCTTGTTTTCACCAGGAATATTATTTAATGTATAAATCCATGTTGTCTGTGATGCAGAGATGCCTGGACCAGTCACACACAGAAATGTAAACAGGGTGAACACCTGCAGATGTTGGGGTTTTCCAGGACTAAGTGCTCTTCACAATTCCAGGTTCCCTTGAAATGGAGCAGTTGGACAGGCTCAAGGACACTGGAAATTAAATATTGTAGTGGAGGAAACTAAGGTGGTTTTATAGCAGGAGTGAGAGATGCTTTTGAACACCTTTATGGCTGCCCAGCTTCCCAGAGAACTGGGGCTTCTTCCAGAAAATTCATCCCTTGGCTGCTGGACTGGACAAGGAAGAGCCTTTCCTCACCTGCACTGCAGCTGCTTTGTGGAGTTTGGGGGAATTTACACAGCAAGACTTTAGGGCTGAGCTGGAAGAAAGGAAACATCCTCAGCTGGGAAAAAAGGGAGGATCCAAGCAGAAACCTGGAGTTTCTGTGCAGAAAGCAGAGAGTGCTGATAACAAGCAGCCAGGATTGAGCTGCAGCCTACCCTCCATCCATGTGTTCCATTTTCTCTCCCCAGGAAAAGGCCTCCCAGCAAGATGAAGAAGTCTCCAGTGGGGAGCTGGCGTTCCTTCTTCAACCTGGGGAAATCCTCCTCCGTGTCCAAGCGCAAACTGCAGCGCAACCCCAGCGAGCCCTCGGAAATGAAAGCCATAGCCCTGGCAGGTGAGGCCCCCTTCCAAAACCCGGCGTGTCAGCAGTGCAGAGTGATGTTTCCAGTGGGCTTTTATCTCCTCCTAGCGTCCAAGCCGTGCATGACACCTCCAGTAGCTCTTCTTTCCCAATGGATCTCGGGCAGCTCTGGAGCCTGCCAGGGCTTGTAGCTCTGTGCTTTGCTTGGAACAGCTTTGGAAGGATAAGATATGGCTGCTGCTATCACAAGTCACAGGATAATTCCTTCTGACACTCTCATTATGAAATGAGAATACAGTTCTCATTCCCCTTGCTGCTCTCACAAGAGGGAAAGGCACCTTCCCACAAACACATTCCCTCCAAAAGCTGCACCAGAGTACCCAGAGAAGGCAGCCAACAAGCCTTTGTAGTCACAGCCAGCATATGTAGGTGGAATTCTCAACCTTTTCTATATATAATGTGCTTTTTCTTTCCAAACTTAAAAATAGCAACAGCATGTTTTTGCAGTAAAACACATCACAAATCCCAAAATATGGGCCCAGGAGAACTTTTATCCCCTCATCTCTGAAGATTGATCTTTAAATTCTTACCCTCACAGCCTTCACCCTCGCTTATGATGCCCTTCAGGACTGTGTCCTCAGAGACTGAAATTATACTTTAGTTTTATAGTTTTATGCCTTGTTTAGTGCCCATAAAACAGGGTCTGTAAATGTTCCTTCCTTCCCTCTTTTTGAGGTGTTTTGCTTGTGGGAAATGGTTTCCCATCCTGTCACCTGCAGTAGTCATCGCTTGGGTTGGTCACTGTTTCCAGGTAAAATGAGAATCAGAAACCCACCTTCAAAACAAGATTACTCTCAGGACAGTGATGTTGGTGCTAGAAATGCATTTGTGTTTTTCCTGCCACTGTTACCCAGCTAAATGGAAACCCCTTTCCTAACTGATGCCTGTGTGGTTCCTTCCTTCAGGAGGACGAGGAGACAGCGGGACGCTCCGCTCGGCCAAGAGCGAGGAGTCCCTCACCTCCCTGCATGCTGTGGATGGTAAGGCAAAATCCCACCTGCACTTCCAAGAAATGGGCATTAAGGGAGGCTCTTTGACATCTCTGGCTGTAGACATTCAACAGGGCAGGTTTTCCACTGCTCCAGGGGAAGCTGTACTTGTTAACTTTCTGCTCCCAGCACAGATGAATCTTACAGTAATGCTCTTCATGGCTTTTCCTGCTTTTAAGGTTGAAAAAGGCAAACCTCTTGCTTTGGTGTAGCTGATGCTGCCTATGTTCATTCCTTGGCTCCTCCCCTTGCTATTTCAAGGTTGACAGAACAGCATTGTGGAGGAAAGTGCTGTCTGAGAAAGGCCTTCAGCACATTTAAAGTGTCTTTGCTTGTGCTCACAGCTTAGTTTCACACTAAATCATGCCTGGCAAGTGCTGTAACAGAGTTTAAGCAAATGGAATAAGCAGTCACTGCCAACGATGTTACTTTGTGTGCAGAGATCACATGGGGAGCCTCTCTCTGCCCTAGGGCTGCTCTGACCACCCCCACCCCGACTGGGCCTGGCCCCCAGGGCAGGAGCTCTTGTCACTGATCATGGTGTCTCCTCACTTGCAGGTGAATCCAAACTGTTCCGGCCCAGAAGGCCCAGGTCCAGCAGTGATGCCCTGTCTGCCTCCTTCAACGGGGAGCTCCTGGGGAACATGAACCGCTGCAACTCCTACGACAACCTGCCCCATGACGACAGCGACGGCGACGAGGGGCTCATCCACGTCCCTGCCCTCATCTCCCCCCGCTCCTCGGAGGACGTGGACCTCAGCCCGCCGGACATCGGCGTCGCCAGCCTGGACTTCGACCCCATGTCCTTCCAGTGCAGCCCCCCGCAGGCGGAGTCCGAGTGCCTGGACAGCAGCACCTCCCTGCTGGAGTCCGTCGATATCAATAAGGAGAAGCCAAGCCTGCTCAAGAAGGATTTAGAATCAGGCAGCCAGTCCCAGACCCCAGGCAGTGCCACAAGCTCTGAGCCAGTGTCCCCTTTCCAGGAGAAGATGAGTCCCTTCTTTACGCTGGACCTGAGCCCCACAGAAGAGCAGGCCTGCAAACCCCTCAGCTTCTCACCCAAGACAGCCCGAAAGCCCATCAAATCTCCACCGCTGAGCACAGAACCAATGGCCTTTGTGCTACCCAGCCGTGTGCCAGAGGCCGTGGGAGGAGTGCCCACCACATCCAGGAACTCCTCTGCTTCCAGCTGGAGCAAAGAGATTGGCATCACTGAGATCACAAACAGGTCCCCAACCCAGATGTCCTTGCCCCTGAAAAACAGTGAAACAGGAACAGGGGAAGGAGCCCACCAAGAGCTGCAGCATCCCCAGCTAGTGACTGCTTGCAAAGCAGAGTTGCCAGAAGAAGGGGAGAGAGCCATGCCAAGCAGTCAGAATAAGACTGTACCCAGTGGACACACCCAGCCAGGTACAGTGCATTTTCCTCCATTCTTTCTTTAAGTTCCAAAGGGGAGCTGCTCTCAGAACCGTCCTCCTCTGCGTGCCTTTAGGAGAGGGGATTGCCCGTCAGTTCTGGTCACGAGTGTCTTGCAGGGCTGTGCAGATCAGTAAAGTCTTAACCTCTGCCTTCTCCCTACATCACACAAATCTTGGATAATTACCATTATGCTTTATATTCTGCTTTTTTTTCCCCATCCTCTCATACGTGAAAATCTCTAGCATGTCCTTCTCAATCATTTCAGCCAATAGACCATCTAAGACTTTTCCTTTTTTAAATTAAAAATCTGCCAACACTCGAAGAAGGGACCTTTCCGCCTAAAACCTTATGATCAAAATTGTGTAAGGGTATCTCATTCTCTGCTACCTCCTTCCTACCTCTAGAAATGCAAGAGGAGCCTTTAGACAATCTCTTGGGTTTTTTCCTCTTTGTGATGAACTGCTGTGCTGTCGAGCAGCGTTTACCTGTGAGACACAAGTGTTTCACATCAGAAGGAACTGCCACTGTGAAAGTGTGGAGAGCATCTATTTTTTTATAATAGTCGTTAAGGTCACTCTCCTTATTGGGTAACATAAAATCACTCTCTCTCTCAATTTTCCCCCCATTAGGAGCAGTTGCCCTCGACTCCCCCCAGGATCCTGTTCCCGTCAGTTCTGTGTCTCTTATCCCTCCTCCTCCTCCGAAAAACGCAGCGCGCATGCTGGCCCTAGCGTTAGCCGAGTCCGCGCAGCAAGCATCCGCCCAGTCCCACAAAAGGCCAGGAGATGCTCATGCTGAAAGCACAAATTATGGAGAGGCTGAAGCTGGCACAGCTCTAGAAAAGCTCCATCTCTCTGCGGGCGCTCCCGACAAGCTCCACCTGTTCACTGCTGTGCCCGAGAACCGCCTGCACTTCCAGCCCGGGGCACCTTTAGAGCAGGACTGCCAAGGCACGGCCGGGGAGCAGAACCACCCGCCCGGCGCACCTGGAGGCCAAGAGCCCCCGCCTCTCCACACGGGCATGCCTGGGGACACGCCTGGCAGCAGGGATGCGGAGCAGGAGCAGTCCAGCTTCCACCTCAGCAGAGCGGGGGACAAGGAGGCCTTCCCGGCCCACGCGG